ATACCTCTAGAGAGAGTTATTAGAGGTATGTTGCTTATCTCTAATAAGGTAGATGGCAAGCTCTGGGTATGGATGGTAGTGCAAGGGGGCACCTTCCTCTATTCCAAATGAAGAACATGGGAGCTTGCTTTGAGGATACAGGAAAACAGGAGTACACGTGGAGACCCTGGAACGAGGATAAGGGAAGGACCACTTGGTTAACAAGTACAGCAGGATAAGGGAAAATGGTTTGAAGTTGAAGGAGGGAAGATTGAGGTTGGATGTCAGGGGGAAGTTCCTTGCTGTGAGAGCGGTGAGGTGCTGGAACAGCTGCCCAGAGAGGCTGTGATCCCCCATCCATCCCTGGAGGTGTTCAAGGCCAGGTTGGATGGGGCCCTGGGCAGCCTGGGCTGCTATGAAATGTGGAGGTTGGTGGCTCTGCTTGTGGTGAGGGGGGATTGATCTTCATGATCCTTGAGGTCCCTTCCAACTCAAGCCATTCTATGATGATTCTGTGACATTTGGTGGTTGGACTCAATTATCTTACTGTCTTTTCCAACCTTGATGATTCTATGATATTGACTAGGTTGTGTTATGTGGAAGGATGCCCTTGCTGCCTGTCAGTTTGCTGCTGTTTAGGGCTGGGAGTTGCCTGAGGGCAGGCTTGCTGTGGTTTCCTGTGTTTGTATAGTGTCTACAGCAATCAACAAGATTTCCAGGGCGCTGCAGGGCTGGACGTTCAAGTGCATGGTGCCTGCTGACATTTCAGGAGAGTTTGGCTCTCATATAATAAGGCTCAAAGGGAAGAGGGCAATAACACCAGCAGTAGCAGCAGCAGCAATCCATAATATGATACCAAGCTCCTCTGTAATTGCCTTTCTCCCATCTCAGTTCTCTAGTGCATAGACAAACCAATTGCTCTACGAATGTCCATGGAACAGCTGTGCAGTTCTGTTGTCAGACAGCATGGAGCTGTCACCAGCCTCTCCTTGCAGGTGGGACATTTGCAATGTCTTATTCTCAGGCTCTAAGAGGCAGGCTCCCATATGAGATGCACACCTCATGCCCATGGTTGGTCAAATGATCTGTTGCCTGCAGAGCCCACCCATGCACTATGTCCAACAAATGCCCCCACCAAAACAAGGGTGGGTTTTGCTTGGTGAAATAAAACTCCAGGTTTTATAAACATAAAATAAACATAAAAAAGAGCATTTTTGGTCCAGGTTCAGCAGCCTGCCGACCTCTGGCTAGGGTCAGAGGAGCACAGTCATCCAACATAAATTTCAGGATATCACAGGAAGGTTTGGGTTGGAAGAAACCTTCAGGTTGGATAGTAGGAAACATTGCTTCTCACAGAGAGTGGTGATCCAGGGACATGGTGCCCCTGGAGGTGTTCCAGAACAGAATTGTGCAGATGTGGCACTGAGGGATGTGGACAGTGGCCATAGTGGGGTGGGTTGATGGTTATTGATGTTCTTAGTGGGCTTTTCCAACCAGAATGATTCTATAATTCTATTATTAAAACTCACCCAGTCCCAAACCCTGCCATGGGCAAGGACACCAAATCAGACAGCCCAAAGGATTTAAGGATTTATGACAGCAGTCAGAAACGTGGCACCTTGCAAACAAGCGTCTGGGGCTGGAAGGACACATACTGAAGGAGAGACACAATGGGAAAGCAAATGAAACAAGGAAGAACCTTCTGGACCAAGGGCCAGAACTGGGCCATGGGACTTGGGATAGAAAGAAAAGAGGCGTGAGGAGAGGAAGGGTTTCACTGTGATGGAGAAATGGTCTGGAGGTGGGCATAGGGGCTGAGATGTGCGGGCATCAGTGTGGTCCCATGGGTCTCTGATCTGCTTCCCATTAGCAAGTGACACTGCCTTGTGGGAGTTTTGGCTTAAAAGCTTGAGCTGGCTGGGGTGGGATGTCTCTCCTGCAGGTCTGAGGATGTGCACTAGAGTTGCTCCTGGTCTGAGCTGTCTTGGGTCAAGCCAGAGAGAGGGAAAGAGAGCTTGTCAGAATTTCTCCCCTCCTCGCCCTTGAAATATGCTGGTTCTTTCCTTCTTTCCTTCTTTCCTTCTTTTCCAGAGAAGACACAAAAACAAACTTCTCCAGCCAAAAGTAATCAGTTTTGCTTTGATTTTTTTTTTTTTTTTTTTCTCCTTCTTCCTTTTCAGCCAGGGCTTGCTCAGCTCCAGCTGCCTGCAGGGTTTGCTCACCATCATGTGCTCTAAAAGCTCTCACTATGTGGTCAAGCATCTCCGTCCCTCTACATTTGCTGCCAGTGGAGAACAAAATAAACAGCACACAGACACAGGGTGTATGCAGTGTAATGCATAACTGCTGTCCCTTTTCCAGAAACAATTTTTTTTTATCCTGCTAGCATTCCTTGAACAGAATGTTTGTGTGGAGGCATGAGAGCCCACTATGTCTAAGAAGGCCTTGGCAAGATGCAGGTCCCACCTTGAGCATGTCACGTCCCTTGCAACCTTTACAGCTTCTGGTTTGAGATGAGTTTTTGGCTCCTCATCCTGGAATGGTGATCCCTGGAAGGGATTTGATGTTGGGGATGAAGTATCTGAATGTTTAAAGCATGCTGTTCCCCTTCTCCTCCTTCTTCCCATCACCTCAGGGGGAGAGGCTCAGGCCCAGGCAAAAACCTCATCCAGAAAATGTAGAAGTCTTCAGCCTCCAACATGAGATCTATGCTCTTTGCCCTGGATTACATACAGAAACTCGGTAGCTGAGGAGCCCCAGGAGACACTTGCACTGGTAGATGACAAATCAATGTCAGCATGAAACACCAAGTATGTATCTGTGGTGGTGGAGCAGGTGCTGATTCCTGAGCCCATCTTGGAAGCATGTCCTGAAGGTGCAGCTGGGTTCCTCTTTGGGCTCTCACCTTCTGCTCCCCAGCTGACCTGGGATGGGACCAGTGTGCTTTCAAAAGGAGAAGCAGCCTACGAGAGAATAGCTTTCCCTCAGCAGCATCTTCCTTGCAAATTCTCCTTGTTCCACATCCAGAAGTTTGCCAGAGCTGGGTAAGTCTCTGATGTGTGTTGACCCCCTTTTTTCCTACCTGCCTGCACTGTATGCTTTGTTCTCTTCCTTCAGAATTCATCATAACAATGGAAAGGATGTTCTTGAAGAGGCGATTTCTCCCCAGGATGCAAAGAACTGCTGTCTGCCTGTGCCAGATGCAGAAAAAAGCTTACAAACACATAGAAGGATACGATTTCCAGCCATGAATTCAACTCAGGTGCCGTGAACTAATACTTTTATGAAGGAATTTTTGAGCAACAGAAAATCCCAGATGAAAACAAGAGTGGTAGGCAGTGCTCAGGAAAGGTTACAAATCTGAAATGTAGTTATTGAAAGCCTTTGAATGATCCATCAAAGAATACAACACAAAAATGTTCTTACCCTCAAACTAGTAGAGCTGGAAAAGGTGTAGAAAGTTGGTTGCAGAGGATTTGAGGAGTTATATGAACCAGGCAGGAAGGCTGGCAGCTGTGCAGGCTGCTTTGTGAAGCTGCTGCTTTTGGTGTGAGCATAATTAACACTATGAATTCATAGGCTGAAAATTGGTGATGTGCAGGGAAATCACCTGTTGAGGGACAAATGAGATGCTCGGTGAATTGTGGGTGGGAATGCAAACTGATCATGGTAGAGGATGGACAGGGAGCTGAAAAGTGTGCAGGTGTGTCTGTGCAACCCTCTCTACTAGGGTTCATTCTAGGGTCTGCCTTGCTTCCTTCTTGGGCCAAGCTTGTTTGAGGTGGAAGGGGTCTATAAAGGCCATCTGGTCCAACGCCCTGCAGTGAACAGGGGCACCCACAGCTCCATCAGGTGCTCAGAGTCCTGTCCAGCCTGGCCTTGGGTGTCTCCATGGATGGAGATGTTTCCACAAGATTTAATGAACGTGACTGAGAATATCTATTAACATCCTATAGCTACAGTGAGCACAAAGAGGATTGCAGAGTTTTAGGTGTCCACCACTGGAAATGCTTGTGCTGAGTGCCTTGGTGATGCTCTTCAGTTCCAGGTCTGCTCCCAGGAGCACTACTTCACCAGTGCTTGTGTGGGGACAAGAAAGAATCCAAATTGACTGCTTGAAGAGGAAGGTCCAATGCAAAGTTGACAGTACTACCAATACCTATGGCAAATTTTAGGATGGGAAGGAATGGCCTCAGGTTGCACCAAGGTGGGTCAGGTTGGATATTAGGAGAAATTGCTTCTCACAGAGAATGGTTCTGCAGTGATACAGGGTGGGATCACCATCCCTGGAGATATTCAAGGAACCTAGAGATGTGGCACTGAGTGATGTGGACATGGTGGGGGTGGGCTGGGCTTGAGCTTGGGAATCTTGGAGATGTTGTTTGGCGAGGGCTGTCTTTGAAAATGCCTCTCCTACAGCATTTCCCAGTTGATCTCAGAAGGATTTAACAACATTAACTCATCAAAGATGACAGCACCCTGGGGGTGTTAAAACAATGGGGCACCCCATCAATCCCATTTCCATGGCACCGCAGGTGATGGGGGCAGGGGAAGGTGCTTCAGAGCAGTGGCTTTTCCTCCTCTGTGGTTTTCTCTTTGGCAAGGCAGCTCGTGGCCACTGCAGAAGTTTTCTGTTGGTGCTGCACATTGCACTGCTGTAGCTTTTTGTGCATGGGTGATAAAAACACCCACCGTCTCGCAACTCATTAGCTCTCCTCCGGCAGCATTAGTGGTTAACAGCATAATTAGTTTCAGTGGTAAAAGGACATTTTGTGGACCTAGGGGAGAGATTGTTAATCTTCTGGCATTTCGGGCAACAGCAAAAGTAGCAAATTGCTTGTTAGGGGCAACAGCAGAAATATTTGCATGCTGTTAAGCAACTTATGACTAAAACACTGGCCTGAGGTAGTGAGCTTTGTTTGGTTGGTGAGATAGAGTAAAGAAGTGGAGTGATCTTAATGTCATGAAATATCATGTGATCTCAATGAGCAGAGAGAAAATGTCCACCAGGACGCCTGTGTTCCTTACTGCTTCTGGGTGGTTTGTTGCTCTGTGTGTATCTGCAGGACACAGTGCTTGGGCTCAGCACTGACTCATCTACCTCCTGCAGGAAGAGACTGATTCTGTAATAAAGATAAAGATGTGCCACTGCTGGATGTGTGCACAGCATTTAGCAGGCTGGGCATAAATCAGGACAGGAACTGAAGAATAGCAGTGTTACTGTATGGTGTGCATTTGCCACCTTCAAGTTTCCTCCAGTGTCCTGGTGATGGCCGCCCATGCTGGCAAATGGGTGCTCAGGGCAGGTGGCTCTGCTCCGTGAAGAAAATTTCTCCTTACTTCCAGTGCCCTGGCTCTTGAAGATGGGTGGAGAAAGGCCTGAAGGCCACATAATGGAATAATGAACATGGAATCATTTGAGTTGGAAGGGACTTGTAAAGACCTTCTGGTAGAACTCCTCTAAGTGAACAGGGATACCTACAACAAAATCAGGATGCTTCCCCTGGAGCCTTCTCCTCTGCAGGCTGCACAGCCCCAGCTTTCAGCCTGTCCGTGTAGGGAGATGTTCCATCCCTGGGACCATTTTAGTGGCCCTTGCTCTGCAGCAGGTCCATGTCTCTCTGGCACTGAGGACTCCCCATCTGGACACAGTGCTCCAGGTGAGGTCTGACAGCACAGAGCAGTGGGGCAGATCCCCTCCCTTGCCCTGCTGGCCACAGCTCGCTGGTTACATCCACCTGGAAGCCATCCAAAGCAATTCTGCCATTTGACCACGACCCAGAGCCCAGCCCTCCTGGTCTTGGTGAGCAGCTGAAACCAAGATCACTTGGATGCTGCAGGGAAAGTATTTTTCTGCTGGTGATGCTGCAGGCATTGCAAGATTCATGACGTGTTGGTAATCTCCTGGGGAACACTGGTTGCTTCACATTTCTGGTCCAAGGAAGGTCATGCAAAGTTCAGAGCAGCTTTGGGAAAATATTTGAACTTCTGGATGTTTGTGCGAACCCAACCTCTGACTTCTCGTGTGAAAACGAGCCTCTCGTTTTCTTATTCTGTAAGTACTGAGGGACAACACCCTCAGTGCACGCGTGTGTCTGCATGGTGGAAAAGCAACTGCTTTGTTTCAAGAATGTGAAAAAAGTCTGACATGAGCACATCATTGTGGATTGCTGTGTCCCAGCGGTTGGCAGAAGAAGAAATGCCTTGGATCTAGATAGCACAACTCCACAAACACCTCAATCCTGAAACAAAATGGGTCCTATTACTGCTAGGACTCAAATACCTGAACCCCATTGAGGAAATTGTCCTCACACCTAATCCATCATCCCTGGCCTGAGTACCCCTCTGTCCCCCCGGAGCAATTTCAGCACTGTGTATAACAGAGCGTGCATTATTCCTTAATGCAAGGAAAAGACTGGCTCGTTGTTTTGAGAAGGAAAGCAGATTTGACCATTTTGCAGTGAGCTGCAGATGCAGGGAGCAGAATGCAAAGGTGGTCTCAGGGCCCGAAGGGGTGCTTTTGGAAGGTTTTTCCTCTTTTTATCCATCCTCTGGTCCTTTTTCTCCCGCTCTCCAGGCTGGATTACCTAATATCAGAAAGCAGAAATACAACTGACTTAAAGGTTATCCATTGCATGCTGTGTGTGTACACGCAGAAGGATTGATGTAAAAAGGAAAAGGGAGGAAAAAAAGAAAGAGTTCGCGTTTCCAAAGGTTCCAAGCAAGGATGCCCAGCAGCACATGGTGTTGGTGCCCAGGACCACAAGCCTGTTTGCTCCCCAGCTGATTTTGGGCTCCTTGGCCACCATTGCCCACAGATCTGCAGGGAATCTGTGTGACATCTGCCCCTGCAATTTGATTCCTGAGCTCTGTGAAGCGTCACTAACACAGCCAGATGTCCCACCTGGAAAGGGGCATGGAGAAGGTAAGAACTGCTTAAGTATGGGAAATCAAAACCCCTTTCTGATGTGCGCTGTTTCCCCCTTCTTCACTCAAAAGTGGTGCATGGGAGCATTTTGGTAGCTATAGAAACTTCAAACACAAGCACAGTAACCAAAATGTGCCTCTTTGCCAGTGCTTTTCCCCGATGTGAGCCTCCCAAGCAGCCCTGCAAGGCCCCAGGGAGCCTCAGCCTGGCACTGGGCATATTTATTTTGCCAGATGGAAACAAGCAGCATACATTCATGAGATCGAAATGGAGAGAGATGGATGTGGATACCAGGGACTGACTGACTCAGGGGAGAGATGCTCCTCCATACGGTGTAATCTGGGAGCACTTTTGTTACTGTTATGGGCTTGCTAGCAGATGGATCATAGAACTGTTCAGGCTGGGAAAGCCCTCCCAGATCCCCAACCCCAGCCCACCCCACCATGCCTACATCCCTCAGTGCTGCATCTCCATGGCTCTGTAACACCCTCAGAGATGATGACCCCACCTCACCCTGGGCAGCTGTGCCACTGCATCCCTGCTCTTTCAGGGAATACATTTTTCCCAACATGCAGCCTGAAATGGGGATGTGGGACAGGAAGGGCAGGGATGCTGGGAGCAGAGTATGCCAGGAGCAGCTTGTTGGCAACTGAGAGAAGTGTGAGGCACCTCTTGGTGCCAAGTGAGCACCAGATCTCATCATTCAGTACTCCCCCTCTTCTCCAGTACATAAATAAATAGGAACCCCTCCCACTTCCCTAAGCAGTGGGGCAGCTGAGAGGCTTGCTCTGCTCTGTACCAATCTGCAGCACATGGCATCCTCTCCTCTCCTCTCCTCTCCTCTCCTCTCCTCTCCTCTCCTCTCCTCTCCTCTCCTCTCCTCTCCTCTCCTCTCCTTTCCTGTCCCATTCTATTCCAAAGGGGTAATTTGGTTACAAGGGACTTTTGGGGTGGCTGGTTTGTTTGCTTTGCTGGAGCTAGCAGAAGAAAAAGGCTTTTTTCTTTTTCTTTTTTTTTCTTCTCTCCTTGCAAAGGAGGAACAGGTGGTTTTCCCATTAGCGAGGGCTCCCTACGCGGATGGTGCTTGGGTGGGCTCCAGATTGTGGAGGCAAAGAAGCAGCCTCATGGGGTGGGCTTGTTGTGGTTGCCACCATGCACCTTCCCCAGCTGAGATCAACTCCCAAAGGATGGCAAGCTGCCCACCCTCACCCAAATGTCCTCCTGAACCTTTAAGAGTCAGGGTAAAGCCAGGAGGTACCAGTGATGTGCTGGGGTCAGAAGGAGGGAGCCCTGTAAGAAGAGTGGGAGGGGATCAGTTGGACAAAGTGCCAAAATTGGAAGAGATGGCACATGGAGAACATTCCCATACATATGTTTTCTTAAAAATATGGCTGTTTCCGCAGCTGCCTGCATTGCCTGTTCCCGTGCGTTGCTACTCTATTGCCAGGAAATTTTCCCTGATAACTTTCCTAATTGATGTCTTTCTTTGCTTCAGATAAAGCTGATTTCCTCCCCTGGTGGCAGCAGCGGATGCAGAGAACAATAGGTATGGTGCCTGCTCAGGGAACAACTCCTGCTCCCCTGTGCCATGCCCAGCCCTCAGCTGGGATGGAGGGACCCACCCGAGGGAAAAACCAGCTCCAGAGGAGTGGTTTGGAAAAGAACATTGCAAAAATTCATGGAAAACAGTGACTGAATGAAGAATGACGTCGTGCAACTGTTCCAGGAAAGGTGCAGCAAAATATGTGTTTACTGCAGAAATTCTATGGAATGGATAAAAATAAGAGAATCTCATCTCTAGAAAGATGCAGGAGGTCAGAGGTACCTGAGGGCAAGCAGCCACAGAGCTGTGATCAGCCGCAGGAGCCCCTTTTTGGTGTCTGATCACAGATGTGAAACTGCTTATTGTAAAACCTGCAGCAGGACTTACCCAGTGATTATTATCTCTGGGTAATGTAATGGGTAAAAAACATTTGCTTTTTTATTTTTCCCTTAATAGTGGATGGTGAAAGAGTCTTTAATCCTCCCAACGTGGGCTGACTGCATCTGGTTGCTCATCAGCATCCACCCTGGGCCACCACAGTCTCAGGCTCTATTTGGGATTTCACACCTCCCCAAAAGCTGTTCTCCAGTTTGTCTGGTGTAGTTATCCATCCCAAATGCAGCTCTTTACTTCTCCAAGTTTGGTCTAGCTCCTTCCAAATTATCACTGTGAATTTATTCAGATCGTCGCTAGTCGTCTGCCTTCCAGACGCCTTGCAGCCCTCCCAGCCCAGAGTTACTGTAATGCACTCTTCAGTCGATCATCTGGGTTGCTAATGCAAATTTTGTATGCCTGGGCACCAGACCCCTTGCAGTTTGGCAGAGAGCATCCAAAGCCATACAGTGAGCATGAGGTGTCTCCTATGCACTGTGTACCCACTGCATGGCCTTCGTCTGGCTCTTGAGGGTGAGCAAGAGATGTGGGATGAGCAGTCTCTGAGCTTCAGGGATGCAGCAGATCCTTTCCATGCAATGTCAGAGGTTAGCCATGTTTAGCTATTTAGAGCTTGGCAGTGTGTAGGAAGGAGGGAGAAAGCATAAGGGACCGGCGTATGTTCAGATGCTCCGTAACGATGTCATTTGAAGATGATTTACATCGGAGCTGGGACATATGCTGTGCTTTATCACCACAGTCATCTACCAGGATGCGTGCTGCCACCTGATTACATGCCCACATTTCTTCTTCTTGGCTTTATATTTCACTTGTTCCCTGCAGAGGCACTGAGTGTGGGTCCTCAAGGTGGAGCAATACTGTCTTTGGGTTATGGGATCTCTTTGCTTTGGTCTGCACTCATGCAAGTTGGCCTCTCAGAGCTTGCTGGGGAGCCAATGCACCTCTTAGCTCCCAGGTGCTAAAATCCATCAGAAGAGGGATAAGGACAACTGGGGAAAATTGATGGCATTAAACATACCGTGTTTCCTGCTGGTTAAAAATGATGGACGTTTTTCTATGTTGTTCCTACACTTTTACCTAACATGTTCTTAACTGTTTCCAGTGCTGCACTCCTTTACTTCCCAAGCTAATTCATTACCTGTCCTTAATTAACCCTGTCGTTAGGAAGGTTTCCTCAAGTGTCACCCAAGGTGTGCTGCACTTTGATTCACCATGTCACATCCTACCCATCACAGACAAGGAAAACCATGCACTCCTTTCTCTGAGGGGACATTCTGCCTCTGAGAACCATTGAGAAGACTCCCCTCTCTCTTTTTTTTCCCAGTTTCCTTCAGTTTTTCCTCACTGGGTTCTGTTTTCATCATCTTTCCTTCAACCTGTGGGGCTCTGCCCACTTTGGATCCTCCCATGATACTCCAGCTGTGATCTCAACAGCAGTGAGCCGTGCCAAAGGGCGACTCAGTGTGCTTCACACCCAACCACTGTGGTAACTCATCCCATTTAATGGGAAAGAAAACATTGCTGGCTTTCATGGCTCTGTTGTATTGGTGAAGATGGATATTGCGGTGGAGAAGACCAGAGGTTGCTCCCCTTCCAGGTTGGGAAAATGATTTTCCAAAGTGGAAAAAGCATCTTTCACAATCCAGATCTCTTGCAGCAGGGAATTTGATTTTGGTAATATTTTCTGGCCAACTTGGGTTTTAGTTTGCCCTGTTTAGCAAGGATGAGAACATTTTGTGCTGATGAAATCGTTCAGCTTAATTGCACACTAAAAGCATGTTGATGTTTATATTATGTGAGTATTAATTTTAATCTCCAATATTAATCAGTAGCAAGGTAAACAATGTATTGAGTATTATCCTTGCCAGGCTCTATTTGTATATAGTTCAATATTTACAACAGGTGTTTAATATTTTATATTGTGTGATAACATTTCTCCGTCATTGTTCATCAGAGACAGGAAAACAAAGAAAGAGTTTAAAGTGTAGTGAGGGAGTTTAAATTAAATTCCAGGAGCATTTTCCGTATGGGAAAGGCAGTGAAACTCCTCTTTTCTTTTTTTTTTTTCTCCAATTTTCCACTAGGTGAAGGGAAACTCTGGAAGTGGAAGCCTGCAGGAGGAATTGCTGATAAAACAGCCCTGGAAACTCAAAGAGTTAATTGCCTCACAGGAAAGGTTGTCTTTATTTTGCAGAAAATGAAGAAGATTAAAGGCAAAACCTAAACTGGCCAAATTCTTCATTGATTGGGATGTTGGGTTGGTTATGTAGCTGCCCAAAAATCATGATCCAACTTGTCTAGATCCCCTTCACCTATATTTTGACGTTACCTCCCTAGCTGGACTGAAGACCACATGTTCAGAGATGGCTGATGGCATGTGTCTGAAGATTGAGGCTAAAAACCTCTGTGTGATAAATTTATCATAGAATCATAGAATGGCCTGGGTTGAAAAGGACCCCAATGGTCAGGGTTGCAAAGGAGCACAATGCTCATCCAGTTCATCCATTCATCTTTGGCATCATAGCCTGAGGATGGAGACCTTAATGCAGGTGTCTACTCTTCAGCTTAGAAGATGCCTTGGAACCTCATTTTTGGTTTCCAAAGGGAAATAGCTCTTATTTCTCAGAGCTGGAGGAGGGCTAATGCATCCAATTGTCTTCAGAAAGTTATCTGAGCTCTCATGCAAAGTGTTACATAAGAGCTAAACACTGTTATTATTTTTAACAACTTAATCATAGAAGCTTTTTTTAAATATATTTTTGGACTTTAAAACTGGAGTGGTTTTATTATTATTATTATTATTATTGTTATTTTTCAGAAGCCATTTAGTTAAATTATATTTTAAGAGTGTTTCAACAGACGTGAGTACAGGAAATAAGGCAGCTAGAATTTATGTACATAAGCACTGATTTGCATTATATTTCCCCACCAAAATATATATATATATATATATATTCGTGGTTGCTATGAAACCAGAAGTTTTGCTTAGATTAGATCATTTTGTTCTATTGTCATGAGTAAAGGAACTGAATGAACGTTGCTCCACTAATGGTTTTCGCTTTAAATCTGCTTAAAGAAACCTTTCAGCTCCCACACTTTCCAAACAAATAGTTTTGTGTTGTTTTTTTTTTTTAAAAAGGTGTTTTTGGTAAGTTTAGTGCTGGTGAAAGTGCCTTCTGCAGGAAGGGTGGGAGAGGCAGCAAGAAGGGCACTGGGGCCATGCGTTGGCCCTTTGGGTTCTGCAGGGACCTCTTCCTGGCATCTACCACTGATTAAGAGTGCTTTTTGCTTTTGCTCTGGTTGGTGCCCTGAGCAAAATCTGGCGCCCTGAAGATCCTGTGCCTTGGTGCAGAGCAGGCAGGATGTGTGATTTTTGTTCAGACAGCCCTTTCTGATGGTCTTGTTGAAGAAAGCTGTGATTCACTGGCACAGGTTGCCCAAGGAGGCTGTGGATGCCCCATCCCTGCAGGCATTCAAGGCCAGGCTGGATGTGGCTCTGGGCAGCCTGGGCTGCTGGTTGGTGACCTGCACACAGCAGGGGGTTGGAGCTGGGTGAGCGCTGTGCTCCTCTGCAACCCAGGCCATTCTAGGATTCTATGATTGTGAGAGGCTCACCTGTCTCCCAGAGCTGGGCTTTTAAGGAAAAAAAGTTTAAAAACAAATGCAAAAAGAGGTGAACTACTAGGATTAAATTATCTTTGGGTGTCAATGCTCCTGGGCTTGGGCAAAGCCAGTAGGTTCTCTGTTTCTTTGGGTTGCTTCTGTGTATCTATCCTTTCTGTGATAGGTTGGTGGTTGGAATAGATGATCCTACTGGTCTTTTCCAACCTTAATGATTCTATGATTTCATCTATCATTCTGTATCTCATAATCTACATCTATGTCTATCTTTCTATCTCTGTCTCATCTCTACCTCTATCTTGTCTGTGTCTACATCTGTCTCTATATCTGCACTTATCTCTCTCTCTATTTCTGTGTAGATGAAGATAGATAAATATGTATGTATACGCACTGTATATGTAGATATATACTCCATAGCTTTAAAACAGTCCTTGAATATATGAATATACATACACGCATAAGCATGTTATGCGAAAAGACATGAAAATAGAAAGTTTCTCATGATCCTGCTCTCTCTTATTTCTAATTGTGGGTGATGGGTTGCATTTATAGTTTCCTACCGTCCTTCTTTTGCCGAATACAAATATATCTCTGTTTGTGAGAATTCCTGGGACGAGCTGTGGGCAGAAAGCTAATTTAGCAGCGGTGCTGATTCACATTCCCTCCTTGCTGCCAGCATTGCTGTGACAGGATTGCAAAACCCGGAGCCTGTAGAACCCCACCTGCCTGCAGAGGGGCTCAGGGCATCTCTGCACCCCAAATTCCTCCATTATGGGGCTGCAGGATCAGCGCCTGTGTGACAGCCCATGAATGGGGACGGCGACGCAGCAGCCAGAATGGGAATGAAAGTCTCTTTTTAGCTGCTGAACAGAAGATAGGAGTTAAAATATGCAAGTGCATTATAGAGCCAGAAAAATGTGTGCTTTGTTGAAGCTAACGATGAGGGCTGCTCCATCCTTCCCCCACTGCCAGCACAGTGCACTCCACAGCTCCTTGCCTAACAGGAGCTTGCTGTGGGTGCACCTCTTGCAAGCTTTGGTCCTGCTGCCCTGAGCCTCATGTTGGAGGTTTGCAAGCTTCAAAAACACCCCACTACCTGCTGTAGCATGTGTGCAGCATCCATGTATTCACAAGTGTCTAGCTACTCTGTTTGCAAATATATACATATATATAT